ATAGTGAAACATACACTTTTCAACAACGTTTCATCATAAAGGTAAGAAAGTGAATACCTGATTCCATTTCCTGGCTTCTTGATACCAGCTAATGATACTGCAACCAAAGAAGACAGACCCCCTTTCCTATTAACAAATTTACCCAGATTTTGAAGCACCAACAAGTGTTTTTCATTGTTGATTAAAATGTAGATATTGTAGTGGATAATTATGAGTTCATACTTGTTTAAAGTACATCTGCTTGTAAGATCAAACATGAAAAGAATTGCTACAGAGTCTTTGCAAGCCAGGGGAAGATGATCCTGGGATTTATCAGCTCCTACATTTTTCAATTGAAATAAACAAACAAATTGTTGGTGTTCTATGAGCAAAATCAAAATGAAAATTAAAGAGAGAAAATGGGGTTACCATCAACTTCCCAGATGCAGTAATAAATCCTTGCTCCACTTACAAAAAATGTTTTATCCATCAAATTTAACCCTTTCTGTTGAGTGTCTTCTTGTACATCCTCGTTTTCATCTCCAATGTATTTCATCTTCAAAAAACATAGTAAATATATGAATTTCAATATATAGCATTATTCGATTAAAAAAGAAGAAGAAACAGAAGGGATTCGGATTCGATTGAGCTAACGAGGGCTAACCAGAAAACTAGTTTTTCCGGTTTGAGGATCACCCAAGAGGCTGATCTTCAACTGAACCAAATCGGAGTCCTTACGATCATGTTGACCGTGGTGACAAACAGACGCCTCTCCGCCCCTCGCAGAAGCGGAATGCGGCGGAGGAGGCGAGGAGGCCGAGGGGTTGGCGGCCAAGATTCGATAACGAGTAGTCTTCATAGGCTTCCCTAGGGAGCATACGAGGAGTCGGTCCCAAAAGCCACGAATGCAGCGTCGGAGAATCAAAACGCGACGCTGGAATCTGCGCCGGAGGTTGAGTTTAACCAATTTGGGGCAGAACTGGGTCATAATCTATGGATCTTCCTCGGATAAAACGAACGAGAATGGGTGCAGCGTCGATGATTCCGGCAATTGGCAACAAAGAAGCAGAAACAATAAGAAGCCTGGAGATTTGTTTTTAGAATTCTTATTATTTTTGGGACTTGAGCCTTAGAATATTTTTAGTTAGGAATTACGATGAGAGTTTTTAGCGATGAGAATGAACTACTTTAACGGGACGGTTGACGAGAATTGTGGTTCCCAAGTCCAAATTGCCGGCTGCTTTCTTCTTTCCGGTGGCATTTCACATCATAAAAACAAGTCATTTTATATTCACAAACACAAAATATATAGGTCCATATACTTTTTAAAAAATCTAATGTAACCCTCATGTTATTTTTTATTTCAATATAGTCTTCTAACTCAGAAAATAAGTCTAATGTAATAATTCATATGTCATGTTTAGGGATAGGCATGGGTCGAGTTAGATTAGATTTTCGATTCACCTGAATCGAACCCGACCAAAAAATATACACTTTCCACCCGACCTAAACTCGACCCTTCTTCTTGAGATAAAATCCGAAACCGACCTGAAATAATATATTTATTATATTGATTTTATTCAATAAAAATAAGAACTTAATTGAAAATTAATATATAGAGAAGTATTATTGCAATTATCCTTAAATATATAAGATAATATTATATTTTTTTGGGTCGGGTCGGGTCGTATATTTTTACTCTAAATCCGAACCCGACCCAACCCGAATCTGAATTTTTTTAACAATATCTGATTCGATCGAGTCGGGTCAGAACCTGTCGGGTTTGGGTCTCATGCCCATCCCTAGTCATGTCTGAATTACCAGTTTAGCCTATTAGTTTTCATGTCATCCGCCACGTTAATCTGCCATCCTGGAGTGCCATGTCAGCACCCTAAACTGACACCAACACCGTGAACTACCACGTCAACACCATAACGGTCAACGTTGAAAAAATGTTGGTCAAAGGGCTAAAATAGATTTATTTTTGAGTTAGAAGACCACATTAAGAGAAGAATAATACAAGGACTACATTCATTTTTTTAGAAAAATATAGACACCTCTGATGAATTTTTGTCAATTTTAAATTAGACCATTCTTTCTTTAAAATTCGGAAATCCGAATGGATTAACTTAATTTATAAATTCGATTCGATGATGATTAAAAGTTAATAATTTAAATTCATTTAATTTGAATTATAACTAAAAATGAAAGGATACGAATTGTGTCAAATTATAACTCAAATAATTAAAATTCAAAAATCATATATCTTAAATCAATTTAAGTCTATAATGATTCAAACTCAAAAGATATAAAATTATTATTTTAATTTAAAATAATACAAATTTAAAATAAAAGTTAAGTTGATTAAATATTTTTTTAATTTTAATTACTCTATAATAATTCCATAAATAAAGTTGATATGATGTCGAATAAGATTATTTTTAAAAGGGTTAATTAGAAAATAACTGTGCAAATTATATCGATTTTCTTAAATAGGTGTCCAAATTTTTTTCTGATTCTTTTAAATGACTAACGTTACAAACATTATCACTTTTAGGTGTTTCGTGTGTAGCGACCATTAAATTTTACCGTTAAAAGACAAGTGTCAACTTCTGGTGATTTTAAAATTTTTATTTAAAATAATAAATAAAAATATTATTATCTTTTAAAAAAACACAAGAATTTTTAAAAACTTTTTAAAAAATCCCAAAACTCACGACAATCGCCACACTTTGTTGTCGATAAATCTCCACAAAATCTCACCTTTCAACGACTAATAACCATGAAAAGCCACTGAAACAAGAGCTAACGAACCTTGACATTACAAATTGAGATCTCATTTGATCCTGATAGCCAATCAACGACAAAGATGACGACATTTGACTATGACAAAGACAAGGACGACGCTAATCAATATGAATTAATCAAGACGAATCTTCTTGGAACGGACAATAAATAAAAACATGATTCAAAATTTTAAGTATTTATTTTATGAATGAAAAAGGAGTAGCACACTTGTCCTTGAAACGTGGGTTCAATTAAATCTAATAATTTGTTCCCAAAAGTAGGGGGGTAAACGAGTCAAGTCGAGTTCATGTATTGCTGAGCTCGACTCGATTTGAAAACTCTGAAATGGAGCTTGACTCGAAAACTCGCGAGCTTAAAATTTTTAAGCTCGACTCGAACTTGAAATCTTGAACTGAAGCTCGTGAGCAGCTCGAAAAGGCTCGAAATGAGAAAAAAAATCTTAAACTTAACAAGATTAAATCATTAAACTCAAACTCGAACCTGAATCTTAAATACATGAAAGCCTTATTGTATTTAAAAAAAATAAACACATAAATATTAATATTATTAATAATTTATTTTAAAAAAATAAATTCTCAATATATTATATTTTCGAGCTACTCACGAGCTTTTCGAGTCGAGTATCAAGTAGTTTGTTTCGGCTCGTTAAGAATTCGAGTTGAACTCGAGTTCGAGTCGAGTCCATTCGAGTCAAGTCCATTCGATCCGAGTATTTATCGAACCTTGATCGAATCGATTTCGAGTAGCTCGCGATCTGTCTCGTCTTTACAACCCTACCCAAAAGATCTCAATTGGTATGCCCCCAACAATTGAATCAAATCCAAATTCTTTACGTATGTAAATAATAATGATATTACATTATACTATTATATTCACATAAGTGATAATCCAAATTTTAAAGTAAATTATTCACATATTCATTCATTTATTTTTTTATAAATTTGAAGAGAGAAATTAATAATTTACACGTCATTCTCCCGTTGTAATGATTTAAAGTAGGATTGTAAATTAGAAGAGATAAATCGCGAGATATTCGAGATTGAATCGGTCAAAACTCGATAAATATTTGACAATAATGGACTCGACTAGAGTTCGAGTTCTTAACGAGCCGAAACGAGCTACTTGATATTCGACTCAAAAAGATCATGAGTAGTTCAAAAATATAATATATTTGGATTTTATTTTTTTCAAAAATTAAATTATTAATAATATTCGAAAGTATAAGATTTTCACGTATTTAAAATTTATGTTCAAATTTGAGTTTTAGGATTTAATTGAGTTAAGTTCAATTTTTTTTTTCATTTCGAGCTTTTACGAATTTAGCTCATGATTTCAAATTCGAATCAAACTCAAAAAATTTTAAACCCAAAAATTTTCAAATATATAATAATCAAGTTCGACTCGACTCGTTTAGTACCTAATTTAAAGCTAGGTGATCGGTCGGTGTCAAAATATCTTGGATTGGTAATAACTGTCGGGGATATTAAAATATATTTTTTAATATAAAAAAGTTGTACTAAAACAGACAAAGCTTGATAGTTTATGTACTAAACGCCTTAAGTTTTTAACTGTAGACACTAAAATAAAATAAAAGCTAAATATTAAATATGATTTTGAATAAATTAAAAGTTTAAATACCAAAATAGACCAAAACTGATCTTTTATGTACTAAATACATAGTTTATCCTAGTATAATTGATAATTAACGTAATGATAATTAGACAATATTTTTAGGGTAAAGTACATAAATGGTCACTCGATTATTGGATATTATTTTATTAAGTCTCTCTATTATTAAAAGTTACAAAACAGTCATCTAACTATAGAATGTTGCTTTGTTAAGTCTCTTGACTATTAAAAGTTACAAAATGGTCATTCAACTATTTATTATGTTTCAAATTTGTCATTTTCCATTAAAAAATTAGCAGTCATCAAAGTTAGACATGATGACTGTGATATAATAGTTGTTTGAGATTATGAGATTATATTTTATCATATTATAATTAACATGTTAACGTTCAATTCGAAATACCGTTATTTTTTTAACCGAAAATGATGAGTTTGAGATATAATAAATAGTGAGATAACCATTTTATAACTTATAGTAGTCAAAAGACTCGATAAAGTAACACTTTATAATTGAAAGACTATTTTATTTTTTAAAAATTGAGGGATTTAATAAAATAATATCATACGGTGAGGACCATTTGTGTATGAAACATATACATTACATATGTTTTCATTTGTTTCAACAGACGAAAAAAAGAACATGTATTCGTTTACGTAGGTGAACTTGCCTGTCCATTAGTACCATGGCCGGTCTGTTTGCTTTCATTGCTGTTCTTTCTCTTCAGCATCTCTTTAATCACTGCTTCTTTCTTATCCACAAAATCCATCATGTTCTTAAAGCTAGTCGATCGGATGGACCGCCGAGACGATCTCGACGGTTCGATATCCACTAGTTCCGATTCCTCGTCTTCGGGGCTAAATCTCCGGTATTGAGAGGAGACCCTATAGCAGAAGAATGTAAGAGCCAACACACAAGCAATGCCACAAATGAGGAACAGACCCCAAAAGCTGCTTAAGTCGAGCTGATTATCTTCTTCTTGATTGATTTGAATCGAGCACTCGGTGTGCGTTAGCCACTTGTTGTGGATCTTTTGGAGATCGCCGTTCTCCGAGAGTTGGAGGATGGCAGTCGAGAGATCGATCGCAAGAGAAGAGTCCCTTTGAAAAGCCTGAAACCGTAAAAAAATGAGAATGCAGATCGAATTTGTATGAAAATGACACAAGTTTAACGTTGGCACTTACGAAGCCCCATCCGCTTTTCGTAAATTCTTGGCCGACGGTATGGTACAAACACTTGGTGCTCGATAAGAAGAGCTCGATGTAGGGAAGTTCGTCGACGATGGCAGCTACACCACCTGCCTTCGATCCGAGATTAAGTGCTCTCAGATATGCTTCCGGATCTTTTAACTGAATTATCCTAGACCGTGCTATGTTGAGCTCTTCAACCAAATAGTTCAATGCAAACGAACCATCTTGGACTCCGATGTTTTCAGAACTCGAGATCAAGCTATCGATCCCTTGAATCCCCGACGTCAGCTGTTGCACGGTAAGTATCGATGTCAAACTAGCTGTGTAACTCGAATTGATAATCAGAACTACAAACAGCCATATGATCAGCACCAAACGTCCCAAAGCGCTCACAGTGTTTTCCCCTGCATCAAGTCGAAGCAAGAGTCGAAAATCTCATATTAGTTTTCGCACGGATTCGTCGAAGCATTACATCCGATAAGTGTAAACGTCGTAACGGACAATAACGATTTACTTACTATGCGAGAAAAACATCGTCGAGAAACTAAACCTGGAATTAGGAACAAGAACTATCATTATAATCCGTGTTTCCATTGACTTCAAGTTCAATAAATATTAGTCATCAATTATAAAGACTAACCAAAAAATTGTCATAAGCTGTTGCCGCGGAGGACCACGGAATTCGGGATTTATCCGGTGCTCGAGAATCCACACCACGGCTCCCACGAAAAGAAAGAATGCAGCCGTGACGAACCACATTTCTTTGGTAAATGGCTTGAGGAATGTCCACTGACTCGACTTCACCTCTTTGACCGGAGCGACGACAACTAGTCCGGATTCCATGTAAGGCTGCGTAAAATCGACGATTTTCGTCCTGTTTGTAACAATCGTGATATCTCCAACTGCTGCATCATATTTCTGAAGAGGAAAGAGGAGAAAGTCAGTATAATTACCGGCACCTAAATATGGAGAATGGAACCGAAATCAGTTAATGTCACTCACATTTTGGGAAACTTGATAAACAAGATCGTTATAGCTCGGATTTTTAGTACCGTCCCCGAATAACATATACGTACGAGGAACAGCATACGGGAGCAGGTTTATTGCAGCTTCAAAGACATCGATGCAGTATCCTTTTACACCTTGGGGACTATTGTCTTTCGACACAAACTCTTTGTAACCTACTCGGTTAGGTACGGCAATTCGTAATGGCTGTCCGTTGTTCGGGAATACCCATCCCCTTGGTGGTTTCGAAGATTCTCCGGGCCATATTGCATCGTAAAGATGTTGACTGCCGGAAGAGATGTTGGGAGGCTTTGTATACAAGTTCTCCGGAGGAACAGTTGAGAGATGAGAGTGATTCGACCAAAAACCAATTCTTTGAGCCCCGGTTCCACCGATGTTAAGAATATCAAATGCCGGATGAATTAAATCTCTCTGTTGATCAAATTGAATCTGACCACTTAGACCAGTGAAGTTCGTATGAAGAAGTGTCTGTAGAAGTTGTTGGCCTCCATTAAACACATGAAGGGACGACAAGTTCAGTGTGCTGCCATTCGTGTCACGCAATTTCGGGTCATCGGAGAAAGATACATTTCCACCTTCGTTGAGAAAAACTTCGAGGGCATGCGCAGCCAACCAAACCGAATCATAAGCATAAAGTGCATAAGAATTGAAGCCTCCAGGACCCGAACTGCCCTTATGTTTTAGGTCGTTCCATCTAGACATAAACCTCTTTTTGAGATCAGTATCCGGGGTGTAACGACGAAGAGCAACAACTCCTTGTAAGAGATTCATTGTGTCGGAATCAACTGCCTCCCTCGAGTCTAAATACGATGGAAGCCAATCTGTAGCGATCCAAACATAGCCATCGCTCATCATATTAAGAGTGTTAGCAGCAGAAAAGATGTTCAAACCGGAGTCGGGATTAACATGAACTACGAAAATTCGCGACTCCATCAGGTTCACCTTGACTAGCAAGTCATTGATCTTACTTACGGGGTCATCGGGGCTGAATGCAGCCTTATACGAAATCTTGCCACGTTTCTTAGCCAGGGCATCACCTAAAACAGAAATCCCATTTCTTCCGTAATCATCATCCACGAATATCGCTATGACCTCCCTCCATCCGTAATAGTCGACTATGTCGGCAATCGCATACATTTGGAAGTAGTCGCTGTGTGTAGTACGTAGGAAATAAGGGAACTGCAGGGAAGCAAGAGTGGGATCCGTTGCTCCAAACGAGAGAAGAGGGACTTGAAGCTCGTTAACAACATGGGAGATTACATGAGCTATTCCGGAAGATTGTGGACCGACCGCCACCACGATATCGCTTTGCATAATCTGCAAAGCTACATAAATAAGAACAGCATATTAACACGCATATAATACTACCGGAATCTAGTATTCTTCGGCTACTCATTTTGCAGGACACCTTAGAAAAAGCAATGACAACCATATAGAATTCGAAACTACGAAATCGAAACTGCGAATTTGCAACATGATAAAAGTAACATCATCTGCAAAGCTACATGATCCTACTGGAATCTAGTATTCTTCCGCTACTCGATTTTGCAGGACACTTTAGAAAAAGCAATGACAACCATATAGATTTCGAAACTACGAAATCGAAACTTCGAATTTGCAACATGATAAAAGTAACATCATCTGTAAAGCTACATGATCCTACTGGAATCTAGTATTCTTCAGCTACTCATTTTGCAGGACACTTTAGAAAAAGCAATGACAACCATATAGATTTCGAAAATACAAAATCGAAACTGCAAATTTGCGACATGATAAAAGTAACATCATCTGCAAAGCTACATAATCCTACTGGAATCTAGTATTCTTCACTCATTTTGCAGGACACTTTAGACAAAAACAATGACACCATATAGATTTCGAAACTACAAAATCGAAACTGCGAATTCGCAACATGATAAAAGTAACATCATTGAATAACATGATCATACAGATTAGATCATTGGAAAAAGAGATCAAATGGATCAAACATAGCATACAGAAAGGCATTTCATACCCCCTGTTCATTGTTCAAACTATCAACACGTTACATCAACACAGATTCTCTCATTTACCCGATCCTCGGTACCAGAATGATACATCCAATACAGCAATGTAAACAGATAAAAGGGTATTTAAAGATCAATTCAAGTTGCAGGATGCCATAGAAATTACCTTCCATGGTTCCAATAAATCCACTGCAATTCGTGTCTTTCAAAACGAGTTTCAATTCGATCCCATTAAGAACATTAGGATCATTGTTGACATCATCAATGGCGGCCTCGAGTGCAGGCTTTGCTGCTCCCCCAATAACTGAGTTCACAGTGAAAAGAGCTCCAATATGTACAACCTTTGGCTTCAAAGAAGAAGACGATGTATTCCCAGAACCGCAAAAAACTCCAGGGGACCATATGAGCCAAAGGCTCAACAAAATCAACAAGAACCCCTTCATGTTCTTTTCAAGACAGAAACCTATTTTGCTGCCTCAAACCAGACAAGAACACCACCTGCCAAGAGAGTAAGAAACAAACATGAAAACAACAGGGGGAAGAATCGATGGGAAGAAATCCATGAAATTCTTGGGATGAAAAAACCAAGATGAGGTAGAAAGAACAGCGGAACAGCATGAAGATTAACAGACCCAAAATTCTTGGGATGAAAAAACCAAGATGAGGTAGAAAGAACAGCGGAACAGCATGAAGATTAACAGACCCAAAGCATATTCAAAAGGGAAAGTTCTGGGTTTAACATGAAATTTAATATTAGCTAAAGATGACAAAGGAGGCAGTAGTGGAATTTAACAATGCACAAGTGTTTTTCAAACTGTCCAGGAAAAACACCATGCTGATTGATTATATTATATATTAAAGAAAAAGAATTTGAAGATATTGCTGATTGAATCACCTACAGGATAGTGTTCTTAAAAGTCGGTAAGAAGTAAAGGATTGAAATCTGGGTAGCTGAGGTCACCATCTACATACTCAAAGCTTCACCAATAGTTTTTACATGGCTTTAAGTAAAGAATGATTCCTTTTCTTCTTTGTTTGATCGGTGACGGATGTTGGCACAGTAGCACTAGACTTCAAACAGTTGATAAATAATCTTTAGGGTAAACTACGCATTTAGTACCTAATTTATAAGTTTTAGTCCGTTTTAATACCTAGATTTTTTTAAAAAAATCAAACCTCTATCTACCATTTAATTTTTATTTCATTTTAATATCCGTCGTTCAAAACTTAACACGTTTAGGACTTAAACTATCATTTTTTATCCGTTTTAGTACCTAAACTTTTAATTTCTTAAAAACTTGATGTTTTGAACAGAGTAATAAAATGAAACAAAAACTACAGTTTTTAACGGTAATGTACTAAAATGAAAAAAAAATAAACTTTAAGAATGATTTTTTAAAAAAATTAGAAATTTAAGTATTAAAATAAACCAAAATTAATAATTTAACTACTAAACGCATAAGTTACCTAATCTTTATATAACACAAAATTTTAATAATAAGTTTCGTTATAGTATTTTTAATTTTTAAATATATATTAACAAATTTTAAAAATTAATGAAATAATCGAATATTTTTCAATTATTTAAGGAGTCTAATGATATTTTTTTTAAAAAAAACTAAAGATAAAAATGGTCCCTCGACTATAAGGTACTATTTTATTAAGTATATCGACTATTAAAGGTTACAAAATGATCTTTCGATTATAGAGTGTTACTTTGTTGAGTCTCGCGACTATTAAAAGTTACAGAATAATCACTCGACTATTCATTATGTTCCAAACTCCTTCTTTTTTCGTTAAAATTTGACAGTTGTTTAAGTTGGATGTTACATGATGACTGAGTTATGATAGTCGTTCGAGATTTTAGGATCAAATTTTATCATATCACAGTCAACAAATTAACGTTAAGCTTATAATATCGTCATTTTTTAACGAAAAGGAACGAGTTTTGAACATAACAAATAGTCGAATGACCGTTGTATAATTTTTAATAGTTGAAGGACTTAAAAAATAATACTTTATAACAGGGACCATTTGTGTTCTTTGCCCAAAAATTAAATAACAACTTTTAAAAAAATTGAGAGTCATAATTAGGGATGTACATGAGACCCAAATTCGACGAGTTTCGACCCGATTGGGTTGGGTAAATTTTTTAATTTTTTTTTGATAAGATGAAGATTTATTAAAATCAAGAGTCGAAGAATAACTTATGAGCCTCTAATTGGAGAAAAAAAGTGCTACATAAGAGAACAATACAAACAAACAGAAAGACAGGCATACAAAGATCACCAACACCTAGTTAAAGGCAACTCAAGAACAAAAAACACTACCGACCAAAATAAGCAAAAACTGCAACCATCTAAAAAACAACAATTCTAACCGAAAAGGCTTCCTCGATAACATCAACGCAAATAGAGACAGCAAGAGCGAAACATAGACAGCAAAAACGTTTCCAAAAGCTCCAGAGCTGACAACCATAGAAAAAACTCGATGAAGAGACCGCTACCGAACTAAATATAATAAGCAACCGTACTAAATTTCCTTCATCTTGATTGATAACTTCATCCACTATGGGCATATGATCTTTGTTCAGCTTCTTACCACTTTTGAGTGTAATCATCTTGCATTGCTCATGGGCTCCATTTTGCACTACCTCGGTGACACTGGGAAGATTTCATGGTTGCGTCGTATTTAAAAACCTAGGCAAATTGACCCATTTGTTCCTCCAACACCTTTATCGATGCGCTTTGGTTCTAAAACAAATAAAAGGCCAAAGATTGGTGAAACCAGACTTGGGCTGGCGTAGAACTACAACACTATTAGAGAACAAAACTCCCTCTGCTCACATCGATTGCCCTGATCGATATACCATCAGCATACACAACCTGCATAACGGTCTCATTACCCTCTAAAGCTGCATAACCTGTTAGTAAATTTTTTAATTATGATGTTCGAGTCAGATTAGGTTTGAGTTTAGGGTGAAAAATACTCGAATCGACCCGAAAAAATATAATTTTATCTTATATATTTAGGAATAATTATAATAATACCCCTCCATATATTATTTTTTTCAATTAAGTCACTATTTTTTATTGAATAAAAATACCCGACCAGACGCCAATAATTTAAAATTAATTAAATATGGGATTTTATATTTAATAACATACAGAAATGAAGACTTTTTTAAGATAATAAAGTTATATTTTTTTATCATTTCATGTTTAGTTAGTCTGAGTCATAATAAAAACGACGGGGTTTTCCACTCTTCTTTATCATCAGGGCAAGTCAATATTTATTTTGGGATCTATGATCTTTTTTATAGTGACATAAAAATCGTTATTCTGATGTAATGAGTTCTAATAAAAAATATTTTTTATTTTAACTTTTTACATTGATGTGATAGATTTTAATAAAAAATATTTTTTTATTAAAACTGTCACATGTGTGACGAGTTCCAATAACATTATAGAAAATGGCGTAGATCCCAAAATAAATTTTGACTTGTCTTAATGGGTTAAATAAAAAACTCGTTATCTTTATTAGGCTAAATCAACCAAAGAGTTTACCTTTTGAGCATTGTAAATTAAATATATTATTTAATTTAAATATTAGTAAGATAATTATTCTTTGATTATGTCAAGTTAAAAAGATATCTATTAACTTTTTAACTTTGTATATTAAAAATAATTATATATTTTTGTATATTTTAAATTAAAATAATATTTATTTAAGTTTGAATGGTGAAATGAGTTTTATATTTTGAATATTTTAAATTTAAAAATACACATTATGATGAATATGCTTTTCATGTACGGATTAGTATTTTCTCAAAATATCATATTCAAATTATCCATATGACAAATATTTTCAATACCTATATTGTAATTAACACAAAATCTAATAATAAAATATTTAATTTAATGACAATGTTTTAAAAATCGAAGTTAGTTCAAAATTCGAATGATAACTAGTTGTTGTCATAATATCTTGTTGTCACTGGTCAGGTTATAGTCGGGTTTTCGATCAATCTGATCCGATCTGAAATTATAAATTTTTTTATCCGATTCGATTCGATCTTAAAAAATATATATCTTTAACCCAATTATGACTTGACTTAAAAAAAATATCCTTCACATGACTCTGACTCAACTTGAATTTTTAGAGTATAAATGTGATCCGACTCGACTCAGTATAAATAAAAATTTAATTAAAAATAATATATTTTTAAAAGAAATTATATTATTATCCCAAAATAAATCAAATTAGAATAAAAAATAGTTAGACCTAACCTCACCCGAACTCCATTCTTTTAAAAAAAATTGACCTATCAACTCGGATTGAATTGCACATGCGACAGGTGAAATGGACGTCAAGTTACTTAACCATCATTTTTTTTACCCCATCATGGCACGTGTCAGCCTTCCTCGTGAGGTGGGGCCCACTTATTTACCATCCTTTTGCCCCATCTTCTGCGGTATCCACGTGACGCGGGATGGCATGTGTCAAATGATTAATGGGGAAGGAGGAGCCGAGACGGAAAGATCTAACGAGAATTTTATCCAATTGTATTTTGCCACGTCGGGAGCTGTTACCCGTGCTCAGTGTACTCGACTGTATTTGAAACAATTCCCGATCCTCGATCTTCATTAATGATCCCCGCCTGTCGGCTAATCTCATGTTAAGGAATCAGTCCATGGAAAGCCTTATTCAAGTACACGAAGAATGTTAAATCTTAAGTACTAATTAAAGTGACATTAATATAAGGGTAAACTATACAAATAGTCTCTTTATTTTTGATATAATTGATTTTGATCATCAATTTAAAAATTAAAGATACATGATCCTAACGTTATCGATCCGTTTGAATTTAGTCCTTAACATTATTGATCCGTTTTATTTTTTTTTTTTTGTTGAAAATAGAACATGTTACTTATTATTAAAAATTATGGATTCCAACAACATATAATAAGCATGGATTATAGAATTATTGCCAAAAGAATGGAAAAAGGGCATAAATGTCACAATAAGTGGTGTCCCATTGACTTGGGCTCATTGTAGAGTCTAGTCTAGGATTCTACAGCTAAAGTCAATTGATTTAGTTAACAAAAATCAAACTTATAGTTGGACTTTCATTATTTATATTAGTATAATTTATTTGATATTATAAAATACAATAATTTATTTGATATTTTTTAAAATAGGTAAAAACACTTGATGTTTATTAAAATATTAATTTTATTGGTAATAAAATAAAATAAATATAAGATAATATGTGTTCATAAATAACTCTTTCATTTGACATTGAATGTTCATATCTTTAATATTAAATCTCTAAATAAAACTAACATCTTGAATCATATTTGTAAATAAAATTAAAATCACTTTATACATATCTTCATAATATTTAATTTAGGGCCAAGGGTTATCTTTACCTCTGTAATAGACCTAATTTATCATTTTCCCCCTTATTATATTTTCGCATCAATTTAATCTTCAAAATTGTTTAATTGTATCGTTCTACATCATATCTTAACTTAAAACTCTAAATTATAAACTTTAAATTGAGATTTATGGTTTATAAGTTATGAGGTTATGGTTTAGGGTTTAGAATTTAGAATTTTAAGTTAGAAGTAGGGTATATAATGATGCAATTGAACAACTTCGAATGTTAAATTGATGCGAAAATATGATATGAACGAAAATGATAAATTGAGTATGCTACAGGGATAAAAGTGACATTGTTGCCTTTAATTTAACTAATTGATAAAAGGGATTTTTTTTATTAATATACGATAAATATAAAACAATATTTATTCATAAATAATTGTCTACCATTTAATATTCGTTTACATTTTTAATATTTTTTGTATCTGGATTCGAAATTTCAAGAAATAATTATAATTTTTTATCACCGAATTTATCGAATTTGTAAATTTGGTAGAATAAGAAGGTAATAGAAAAGCGGTTAGTAGTGGGCGTCTCTGACTTGCATTCAACGTCCCTTGCCTGCAAGCAAAGTTGAAAGCTTTCAGAATTTGAAGACAGAGAGGATCTATAGGGAGAGAAACAAACCAATAAAGAAAATCAGAGAAATCCCAGAAAAACAAAGAACAAATTATAGAAATTCCGATTAGAAACAGAGCTATTCTGTTTCTGTTCCTAAAACATGCCTTTTAAGCCCCAAGGAGAGCAGTGCATTAAGAGTTTCGTTTCGAAGAGATGGACTTTTCTTCTTTGCTTGAGCTGCTTCTGTGCTGGAATTCTCTTCACCAATAGGTAATTTAATCTCATTTTTTGTTCTTTTTATCGGTTCTCAGCCTCATTGGGTTATCAAAGTTCGAATCTTTTGGCTAAATCTTGTTCATTTTAATGGCGAAACCATGTTAATAGAATTCTTAAGATGCTTGATTTTGGTAACAGGATGGTGGTTGTTCCTGAATCGAAAGGATTCGACCGGACAGTCGCCGGAAAAGCCGAAGAATTGAAGCTAATTTCAGAGGGTTGTAATCTTAAAGCTGTGAGTATCATATAAGCCTTGTGTGGTTTGGTTGAATTTTGGTGTTTTCAAGCTGATTGGGGTTCGTTTCTTTGTACCAGAAGCAAGAAAAGCGTTTGTCGAAGGACGTCAGCGTCGCCGGCGAGGTTTTCAAGACTCAGAATGCTATGCAGTTAGTATTGATTTTGTTATAGTTCATTTGTGTTTTCGTGTGTTCGATCCGATCGATGAAGTTATCATGTTTGTTTTTCCGATATAGGACATTGGATAAGACTATTTCCGGCTTAGAGATGGAATTAGCTGCTGCAAGGGCGGCCCAAGAGTCGTTGCTCGGCGGTCCTCCGTTATCCGGAGATGTGATCGGATCATCAAGGAAGAGAAAATATCTGGTTGTTATAGGAATTAATACGGCTTTCAGCAGCAGGAGAAGAAGAGACTCGGTTCGTGCTACATGGATGCCACAAGGTTGCCGGATTGATTCTTTTCGAACCCTCTCCCTCCCTTCGCCTATGTTCTAATGTGTCTGCAATTGCTTAATCGAATCTGTTTCGGCAAAATAGGTGACAAACGGAAGCGATTGGAGGAAGAAAAAGGCATTATCGTTCGGTTCGTTATCGGTCATAGGTTATGCTTCCATTCCCCTCCTATCATATGATCTTATAAGTGCACCAGCGTCATATTGTTCTGTATGCTTAGAGTACCTACCATGATGAACAACTCTAGCATGAGTTAACCTTTTCTTGCTTAAGTTAACTTCTACTCGAGAAATCGAATACCGATATTCGGTCGACTGATGTTAACGATGTTTCTTGTTAACTTTTTTTCATTATGCAGTGCTACATCGGGTGGTATTTTGGACCGAGCAATTGAAGCAGAGGATAAGAAGCATGGAGACTTCTTGAGGCTGGTAGGCTGTTGTCGAAACTGTCAATCCTTTTCCGTTTACTCCGAGCAAATAACGAACCGAATTTCATTTGCGAGCAGGACCATGTTGAAGGGTACCTTGAATTGTCTGCAAAGACTAAAATATACTTTGCTACTGCTGTTGCTTTGTGGGATGCAGATTTTTACGTCAAAGTCGATGACGATGTCCATGTAAATATAGGTAAGTTTCGATTTATTTCATATGTTTTTCTGTAGAATTATGATGCCTCATTGCAGTTAACAGTAATTAAGTATATAATTTTCATGTTAAGTTCTAATCTCGTGTAAAATTATTGCAGCAACACTCGGAGAAACTCTAGTTAGGCACCGGAAAAAACCTCGGGTATATATCGGGTGCATGAAATCCGGTCCAGTCCTCTCTCAAAAGTGAGTTACATTTTACTTTCTTCTGCATTTTTTTTAGAAGTATACCAGTTTTTCTTATTGTTATGTTAATGAGCAGAGGAGTTAGATACCATGAACCCGAGCACTGGAAATTCGGCGAGAACGGAAACAAGTATTTCCGGCATGCTACCGGGCAGTTGTATTCCATTTCGAATGAGTTGGCCTCGTATATATCAATAAACCAGTAAGATCCAAGAGCCCTGCTCCTTAATCCTGTCATTCTTTTATATACTAAAGATGATTATTTACATGAATGGTTATAACAGACACGTTCTACATAAGTATGCTAACGAGGATGTTTCACTCGGAGCCTGGTTTATCGGACTCGATGTGGAGCATATCGATGATCGGAGATTATGTTGCGGCACACCACCTGGTAAAGTCTTAAATCTTCATATTGCATTAGAACTAGTTAAGATTGCTTGTGGAACAAGTCATTGTTCGTATAATTAGATTGCTTGTGGAACAAGTCATTGTTCGTATAATTAGATTGCTTGTGGGGCAAGTGTCTAAATGGTTGGGCATGCAGATTGTGAGTGGAAAGCTCAAGCTGGCAATGTATGTGTTGCTTCCTTCGATTGGACCTGCAGTGGGATCTGCCGGTCCGCCGATGGGATTAGAGAGGTTCATCGACGGTGCGGGGAAGGCGAGAATGCTTTGTGGAGTGCTACTTTTTAACGTGCCACTGGCCACGCGGTTCGCAATTCGGGAGGACAATAAGCAAGAGCGACGAGCATTTGCCACCATCAACCGGTCATCGAAAATCTTTCTTTTCCGTCGGAGATTATTGTGGGGGGTTTACGATTTTGATCGGATATTATTGTCACCGTCACCGTTGCAGCCGTAAAAGAAAGCGGGGCCACCACTCGCCACCCACTCATTCTTTTTTCAGACATGAGAGCCACTTGTAATTTACAATTCTATAAAAGCTCATAATAAAGAAGAAAATATTCTTTGTTGTGCCAATTTTTCTTTTACTCAATACGTATAAAATCCTTGTTTTTTTAATATTTTATTTCTTCACTAAATAAATCATATTTTATATTTTTCGAATTGGATCGAATAGAATTCGAGTTATAATCATTGTACCATTGATGGAAAGAAGTAAAAGAAATCAAGGGATTTGAGTAGGGATGGGCACGGGATCCGAATCCGACGGGTTTCGATCAGATCTAACCTGATTGGGTCGTATTTTTTTAGGTTCATGTCGAATTCAGATTTAGGGTAAAAAATCAGACCTGGCTCGAAAAATAATATAAAAATACATTATATATTTAAGGTAATTGCAAGAATACATCTCTTTATATTATTTTTTCAATTAAGTCTCTATTTATTAAATAAAATTAATAATTTTATATTATTCTAGGTCGAGTCGGATTGGAGTCGGATTTTATCTCAAAAGTCAAGTTGGGTTTTGAATCGGGTGAAATTAGTCTAAACTCGGGTCGGGTCGGGTGGAGATATAAAATTTTCAGGTTATGTCGGGTTGACCGTAAACCCGATCCATGCCCATCCCTAGATTTGAGTGAGAAATGGTAGTAAACCTATATAGGTCGGATTTTTGGTCCATCCAAACTCGATTTGAGTATAATATTTTTTATCTATAACCTGATTCAGATTTTTAAAAAAGTTTTATTTGATCAAAAATCCAACATGATTTTAAGGTAAAAACTACAGTCGAGTCGACTTGAATATATATATAAATTCTCATTTTTATTAAGTAAAATAGAGACCTAATTAAAATATATATAAATAAATGAGTATTATAGTAATTATCCTAAAATATATAAAGATCAATTACACAATTATTTTCAGGTCCAACTGAATACTTTTCAACTTAAATTTGAATTCGTCTTTGACCTAACATTATTCTTCAAAATCTCGACATGAACTCGAGCAACCAGACAACCCGATCACTCGTTCGGTTCACATGCAAGAAACAATCATAGGTTTAACAAAACATCGATCAAATTATGAGCATTGGGTAGTACGTAGGGATGCTTAACGAGCACGAATCGAGCAAGAAGAAGAAGAAGAAGAAGAAGAAGAAGAAGAAGAAGAAGAAGAAGAAGAAGAAGAAGAAGAAGAAGAAGAAGAAGCTAAGAATCGCCATGCTTATGCCAGCAAAGTAGCATGATTGCACATCTCCACAAAATGTAGAACCTTGATTTCTGCTCCTTCGCCATAGCCAGACACCTCTTCTTGCAGGTAGAAAGCTCCTTCATGCTGCCCATTTTGCCTCCTTCTTGCTCGGCTCTCAGATCAAAACATGCACACTCCTTTATATACAGCTAAAGACCAATGAGGCAATAGACATCAAACAAAAGTTGTGGTCCAAAAATGCATATCTTCTCAAAGTTTCGAGAATGGATTTATGTTGGATAAACAAACCGAATCTGATATAAAATTTGGGGGTAAACTACACCCATTACCATCTAATTATCGACATATTCTACTTTGACCATCGATCTTTTAGTTTTGTCAATCAATCCACTTAATTATCTAAAGGGTAAATTATACATTTAGTACCTAAACTATTAGTTTTAGTCTGTTTTAGTACTTCAACTTTTAATTTTTTCAAAACAATACCTAAAGTTTAGTTTTTGTTTTATTTTAGTATCCCGCCATTAAAACTTTAGTTTTTGTTTCATATTAGTACCCCGTTCAAAATTTAACTTAAGTTTTGAAAAAAATTGAAAGTTTAGGTGCTCAAAAGGGATCAAAACTAATAATTTAAGTACTAAATGCGTTAAGTTTTTAACGTAAAGGTACCAAAATGAAATGAAAACTAAATGTTAGATATGATTTTGAAAAAAGTTGAAAGTTTAGGTACTAAAACGAACCAAAATTGATAGTTTAGGAACTAAATGCGTAATTTACCCTTGTTTAAATGATGTCAGTCAAGTCGTCTGCTGTTAAAATTTGACAAAATATTTGACCTGATAGTTAATAAATTTGATATAATTACATATTTGATCCTCGTTACTTATATGTATGATTATTTGATTGGAGAAAAGATTTAATAAATTAAATAAATTAAAATTAATAAGAAAGTATCACCACTTGATTAGAGGAACACTTCTATTTATTCAAAATAAAACCATGACTAAATTGATAGAATTTATAAATAATGGTGATAAAATGTGTAATTGTATCAAATATGTTAACCATCAAGTCAACTATTCCATCAAATGTTAACGATAGATAACTTAACTTACATCATTTAAATAGTTGAATGGTCTGAATGACAAAATTAAAAGATCAATGATTAAAATAGATTTTAGGGTAAACTACACATTTAGTGCATAAACTATCAGTTTTGGTCCGTTTTAGTACCTAAACTTTCATTTTTTTAAATCATGCCTAACGTTTAGTTTTCATTTTATTTTAGTACCCGCCATTAAAAACTTAACACGTTTAGTACCTAAACTATCAGTTTTGGTCCTTTTTAGTACCTAAACTTTTATTATTTTTTCTAAACTTGTCATTAATTTTTTAACATGATACTAAAATGAAACAAAACCAAAGTTTTTAACGGTTGTGTACTAAAATGAAACAAAAACTAAACCTCACGTATGATTTTGAAAAAATGTTAAAACTTTAACCAAACTGTTCTCGTACGTCTGGCTTAATCAGTGAGTTGGACCACCTTGTACGTGGTTCGGTTCGAGTGGTGTTCTTTTTTCACTTCCGTCTGTCATCCACACTGTTGTCTGTTTTACCATCCCTTTCAGATACTGTAGATGGGGCACTGGCTACATGCAAAAATGTGGGTTTTAAAATTTATTTAGTGTTGGATTTACGCATGTTTTGTCGTCATACAGTTAGTGTAGAATTATCATGCGCATCAAATATAAATCTCTTGATACTGATAATTGTTATTGTTGATGGGACTAAATGAGTTATAGTGATTATATGATATAAATATAATATAATAATAAAACAATCGGAACGATCCTCGATGAAAGAAGATGTCTACGCTAGATAGATACGATTAGATGATAATGAATTTAGATCTAATAGGTTACGTGGATTTGTCAAAAATCATGTCAGCAGGTGACAATAGACTAGGACGAAGGTGATGTTAGACACTCAAGGTCCGTTCTCTAGAAACGTTCTCTTTTGATGTCTTTCCACTACAACAATAAAGATTTTTAATGACAAACTAGTGGTGATCATGAGTAATTTTGTCATAGATAATGAACTTTTATAACATGTATGTATACTAATACTAAAAGCAAATGTGATTTATTTTTAATATAAAGATAAAGATAATCAAACTATGTTTAATTATCTTAATAACAGATAGTAATGTTATTGTTATGAGCTAAATAATTAAACCGATGAAAATAAATATATATTATATTATAGTCATTAGGAATGGCATAAAGTAACAATTTTATGGATTTCAAACCGCATCCGCTCTAATTGGGGAGAGATAAGTATAATTTTAGCGGGTAGTGAGCGGGTAGTGGGTGGGTGTGGATGTAAAAAGTTATACCCGCCGTGAGTAGTAGGTAGGTGATGGGTTTGAGACCTTACTTGTCTCGCATCCGCTCTCTCCAAATCCTTCCGTCCACTAAATGTCCACCATATAAAATTTGGACCACTATGAATTTAGATATAATTTCAGAGATTATTCTGTAAATCTTAGGATTTTATAGGATATAAATTATAATTTAATCAAATTTTGAAGACCGTCGTTTATGTAATATGTGAGGTTGCTTCCAGGATAGACGAGTACGGTGGGGTACCTAGTTGAGTAGTGGGTGTGAATGTGGATTTGAGAATGTATTCTGGTGGACGGGTGTGAATTTAAAATTTTTACCTATAATAGGTGGTGAATAGGTGATAGATACTAAAATTTTAGGTGGGTACAAGGATGGAGGAAGGGGTATCCGCCCTGTTCCGGCCGTTTATTAAAAATAGCTAAATTATGTCAATAGAGATCAAATCGTAAATTTTAGCATAGTTGAGGACTTAAAAACCAGATTTAGACCAATGAAATTATGGTTTTGGGCCTTTGCCATGGGCGTATGGACTCTAGTCGTGTTGTCGAAACAAGTTCTTTTTATTTTTTACGAATTACACTAATTATTAACTCCATTATCATCAAATTCTCTCATTATTTTCTCTCTCGATTGGTATGCGACAATCAATCTCTCCTTCTTCCTTGATCTTTTTTTTTAATTTATTAAAATCCTTAATTTAGTAATTTATACTATGTTTGATTGATTGAATTGTTATCTTTTTGGCTGCAGATTTTTGTTGCTATGGCTAAGAGCTCCTTTAAGTTGGAACACCCCCTCGGTTCGTTCTTCTCTTTTAATTTTTTTCCTATATAAATTTGTACGCTTTTGATTTTTGATATTGTGAAACCCTAATTTATTATTTCCCCCAATTAATCAACATCAATTATTTTTTATCAAGGTATTTTTTGTTTTGTTGAAATTCTTAATCTTTACGGTGCTGTTGCTTTTTCCACGAAAAGAAACAATCTTGATCACCCAATTTAGGGAGAACACCGATTATTTAATTAGGGTTTCAAATAAGTGAGGGTTTAGCATGTTCTATTTGTGATGTTAGAGTGTTTTTTTTTTTTATGTCAGAGAGGAGGCAGGCTGAAGCTGCTCGCATTAGGGAAAAGTATCCCGACAGAATTCCGGTGGGTAATGTTCTGTTGATTCGTCTTTCGATTTAAACCGTGCTTGTTTCTGCTATGTTTATAATGTTACATTGGTATTCGATTGCTTGATGTAGGTGATTGTTGAAAGGGCGGAGAAGAGTGATGTTCCTGAAATTGATAAGAAAAAGTCAGTTATTTTTGCATTTTTTCTTTAAGAACTTTAGTTACTATCGATTTTAATATGATCGTATATATGATATGTTTCGTTGATATGTTATACATTTGTTAAAATGTGTAATGTTGCTAACAGAATTTTAGATGATCAATGCAATTTCTCGTA